TGTTTAACCATATGATGTACTCAAGTATTTAATTTCAGCACGTTAGAGTTGAAATTTGCAATCCTTCTGAACTGAAAGAGGAACGCACATGACATTGACGTCACAGCGACATTTCAGACTGCACTCCATCTCTCTTTTCATTGTCGCAGCGGTGGCAGCGACTGAGTGGACGGTTAAAACCGTGGAGACAATATATGGGAATTTTGACTCTAACCCCGAGCACGAACCCCATGTTCGCCGTTTCACCTCATGTTTCAGAAAACTTTTTTCGTCAGTGTTACCGTTTCTGGCTCAGTAAATTAACCCAGCACCTTGAAACGCCCTATTTCCACTAATCTCTAACATTTATCCATTCACATACTTTCAACGTCATCCTAGAAAAAAAAAATACTTGTGCCGCGGTGCGTGGCTTCTTCAAGGTCATCTCGGTTTCATCCTACTTCGCAGGATCATCACGGGGGGAATATGCGGCGCTGGCGGCGGCGACGCTTTCGCCGCTCCACCCTGGCTACCGCCGGCTCTTCTCATTGACCAAACTCTCTCACTATACGGCTGTGCCATATGCCTCTGTGTCGTGGTAGACAGGGTGGAAAAAATAATGATTAAAAGAATCGAGGAAATCTTTTTTATTTTACTTAAATCAGATTTCTTTTATTTATATCCAATTATTTTGATTTAAATCACTGTAGTTTGCAAGTAATGATTCGTTATCACAAAATGTATTTTTAAACATGACGGATTAATTTGCCAATCCGTCCGATCACTGATAGTAATGCGGAAGAAATAATTACTGTATCAGGTAGACAACAATATATTGATGTAAATCCACCACATAAGAACAAAAAATGCTTGATTTTTTTAGTAGGTGAGAAAGCTTGATTCGCTTTCTTTTTCGATGTACTTAGCCCGGGACTGGGCAGAAGAAGGAAAAAAACTTCGATAGTGGTAGAAGAAGAAACAGGAACAAACATTATGGCGAACTCAGCTTAGTTAGAGACGTTGTCTGTCCCTATTTTTGTTCTACTACTGTCAAAAATGTTTCCTCGAACTTTTCTACTTTTTGTTTTTTCGTTCTGATTTGCTTTACGTGGCTGAAACGAAGTGGGAAGTAGAAAAATGTTCAGCACCACGATTGCTCATAAGAGCATGCCTTTTACTTGGGTTCAGCCCGATATAAATATTTATATCTTGATGATTATGTTATTTAACTATAAAAATTGACATCAAGTGATGGACAATTGATAATTGAAAATATATTTTCGATATATTGTTTTCCGACCAGGGTTTGATTTTTTTCATCATAGGAAAACTAGACTGATTTAAAACACGTTTTAAATTATCTCGATTTTCATTCTTCACTCTGGTCGTAGGTGAACAGGGAAGAGTCCCTCTTCGTCATCCAATGTTTCCCGGAGTAAAAATAAAACAAAACAACGTTGTGAGTTTATATTTTATTGCAAGTTACTGAATATCATCGGCACAATTCTAAGACAAGCAACATTCTAACTTATTGAGCCAGAGACTGTGATACGAAGAAAATACGATCCCCAAGTCACCGGGTTTGTGTATGTCCTATTTTCATGTTGTTCCCGACTGAATACGTTCAAATAAGATTATTCGTAAATGTAACACTATTATATAAACTGCCATCTAACACGAAGGTCCGTAAACAGGATTACGCTTTTTTTTTAGATGTATCACAAAAACGAACTATCATGAACGTATGTCGGCCAGCTGGTAGGAGGTCGCTAGGAAGAACTTGTGGCGACCACATTTAAGCCACGGCGGCGGAGGAAGAAGAAAACACCAAAAGGCTCGATCACTTCTTCTCGTGTTGCCAGCCAGGGCAGCCATGTCATCCTTCCTAAGGACAGTCCGTAGAATCAAGGTGTAAACAACGTAAATAAATAGTATATAACGCAACGCGCGACTTGTTACAAACCTGAAAAGGATTGTCCTGGAAGCTTCAAAGTAGATGCAGACGCTGCGCTAAGACACTTCGGAAGAAAATCAACTTAGTTTCTGAAGAAGCATAAACACTTAGTGAAACGACGTCTATCATTCTTAGGAATCCAGGAGTCAGAAGGAGAGGTTGCAAGAAAGGTAAGCATGAAGTGAATGCTTGATTTCCTTTCTCCGATATTTTCGTTCTTTTTAGATCTTCATTAAAACCAGCTTCTCCAAACCGTACGACAATACACACTAGACGCCATCCAGCTTAAAGAGCACCTCTCCATTCCTAGCACGGGCTCCTAAAAGCAGTGCTGGGCTAAATACTCGATAAAAGTATTTAAGTTACTAAATACCTGTTTCATAAAGTATTTAACATACTGCTCAAGTTACTTTCACTGTAAAGTATCTTGAGTGAAGTACAAATACTTAGAAATGTAATTCAATTACTTTTGAAGATACTTCCGCATTGCGTAATTTGTATCGACGTCAGTGACAACGACAATTATACAGCTGCGCGAATCTGGGTTACCAGTATGGTTTATTAGCACGCAACAACGCAAAACAAAAACAAACAAAAAAATCGTAGGGCTATTTTATGCAGTCCAACTATAAAGAGCAGGATGTTGTCACGAATGACAAATGATGAGGCGTAGAATAACTGAAGAAACTAAACGTTTAATGGGGCGAACTTGTGTCCAAAACAAAACAGAGAAAGGCTAGCGTCGTAGGCGTCGATGTCGGCGAAACAGCAGGATCAAGCCCTGGGGCGAGATTGACCCCGGACCGCCACTCGGAGCACCTTTTGTACCCACGTGGGTTTCTGGAACATTCGGCGTAGAACGTTCGGCGCGTAGAGCATTCGTAACTCTACCAGACGACAAGGTTCTTGAACTTAGGAGAATGTCAAGTTGAAAGAATAAATAAAATAGGAGTCTGCTCCCTGGTATCAAACCCGGAGCCTTCGCGCGAGAGCCAAGCGCGGCAACCATTCGGCCACGCGCTCGCTCGTTAACGCGCGGGGCAATATCACTGATACATGTTACAAAACATTTCTGGCACAACAAGAAAGAGGTCGTTTTAGCTATTGGGGAGGAGATCAGACCATGGCGCCCCAAGCGGTTGACTTGAGAACTACCTGAATGGGGATATGGTGACAACAAATACAATGACTCGGCGCTCGGCTAACTTAACGGAACGCGGCGTCAGCGTTCGGCTGGAGTTCGTATTCTCCGGTGAGGGGGAGGAGGGGCTCTTTTGTTTCCACTCCGGCCTGCATGAACAATGCAGCATGCACGGTGCCCAGCTCAGCACGAAAGCCCAAGTGGGTCAAGCTCGCATCCTCTGACGACTGCTTTCGGGAGAGATCCGGCACTTAACGTCACATCGCTAATTGTTAGTATTTTACATTACACTGTGCCCCGCGCTCTTTTAAAAAATATAACATGAACATGCTTACAAGGCCTGTGGGCACGTGCACAGTCCTTGTGTTGGGTAAACACCAAGGTGTGGGGGCAGAAAACGGGTCAGAGCGCCTCGCCAATAGTGACATCGCTGAATATCACGTCCTGCGGCGCACCTTAGATGCATCGTTTAACTACAATTCATATTCCCTATAGGAGGAGGACTATAGGAGGACTATAAACGAACTTGGGACAGGGATATCAGTGACTGGCCAACAAAGAGAACCCACATAATAGCCACGGAAGTGGTCGCACCTTCTTTAAGAAGGTTGCGTTCAGAAAGGCACTCAACATTGGGGGACACTTTCTGGCATTTTGAGAGGTCATCCAGCTCGTAGTTCGTTTCCTGTCCTGTTCTCTGCTTATCAATGTTCGCTTACAGACAGTGTTCGCGAGAGCAATAGGTGACGGACTGACGACAAAAAGAAAAGAAACAAAAGAAAACCTCGACCTTTCGCTGTAGCGGGGTCAAATATACAAAAAAAGCCAAACAATTTTTTTGTGTGTGCGCGTGTGTGTGTCCACTTCTTATTTTATTCCATTTGTTATTTTCTTGACACTCAAGTCTGCATTGTTTCCGTAGGTCGTTTCCCAGTCCGCGTTGCGCCTCACTGTGGCAAAAGGGGGGGTTTCACTTCCGTAAAACCCCCCCTTTTGTTTGAGGATTGTTTTGGGGAAACTGTAGGAAACGAAAGGGCGCCTTTGGGAAGGCGAGGGGAAAACCTTCATTGGTACGTACTTTGGGCTGAAATATGAGTCACAATCGGCAAAAAAGCCATGTTTTCACGGGCTCAGTCAAAGCCACCGTGGCCAATCGGAGCTATGCGCCGTTTCACATTCTGTTGTACCGCAGCGAAGGCTAGAAGCGCGAGCTCATAGCGTTGGCAGCTGTCCTTACTGCACAAGAGCGTATGCCGCCGAGATGTGCCCCAGAGCAATGAGCTCGCGCTTGCAGCCTTTCCTGCGGTACAACATAAGATGAAATAGAGCATAGCAACAGGAACTGGTTGCTCGAAAGAATGTTAACGCTTTATACCGAAAAACTCGGAAAATGGCGGAATGTCAAAAATGTATTTGAGATAATGAGCACAAGACACTCAAAAATGTAATTATAGAGTATCAAATACTCTCGATCAAAAGTATTTGCAAGATACCAAGATACTTCAAAAAGTATTTGAAGTACAGTATCTCGAGTAGAGTATTTGAGATAGGCACAAGTCTGCCTACAAGGAACCTCCGATGCCACTTCGTGGAGATCGTGATAGCCGAACCCAAACTCCGTGGTCTGGCCCACCATTTCCGCCACACGTGAACCCCAGCCGCGCCAACCAGCCGACGTGCGTGCGCGAGCTCGGCGTGAATAGCATTGATTCAATAAATGTTTCTCTCCCGACGTCGCGCGCGCTGCATCGGCACACGTCGGCCGGTGCGCGTTTTTCCTGGGTGCCCGTCCGGAGGGGGTGGGTGGGCCAACGCTCGAGCTTGGGAGCCGGCCCGCGAAGCGGCGCTCCGGTCCGCAGCGCGGCGCCTACGTTGGCGCCCCGGCTGGGACCCCGTGAAGCGGTCCGGCAAGAGCGGGTCCCAGGCAGTCGCGACGACGCCGGCCAGGATCTCGTCATGCGCTCTACTCCGCTCGGTCCCAAGTCGCTCTGTCCGGATTACTACGTCGCTCGTCGTGCCGCCAATGTTTGAGTCGTCTTGACGGCGGATAGTCGTTTTTTTTTTGTGGAAAAGGTCGGCTCCGGCCGGGGTCGGGCTGCGAGGACAGATGCGTCGTCGGCCTCGTTCAGCGCTCATGAACGCTTCCTGCGCTTTCGCCTGGCTGCTGGGCTGGACTCTGGCCACCGGCGTGGACGCTGGACTCATGCGTCGGCCGCGGAGAGGTCAGTGTCTTTCGCCCGGGCCCAACTTCCCGCTCACGTTGTGTGCGAGTCTTGTGTTGGCGAACGGAGGGCGCTGGAGCTACCTCCGCTTTTGTCGCGTCACTTAGGTGCTTATCTTGCTTTAATGTTCTCCAGAGTTTTTGGAGGGAAACGTGGCTGACGTGCGTCGTCCTTCACTTTTCTCGTCCGAGTCGCGTCGTATGCCCTAAACGTTTAGTAAAAGTCATCCGAGCCACCGAAAGTAACTAGTTGCGTTGGACGGGGTAGAAATATTCCTAGATTAATTTCAAACTCAAACAATTTTTATTTTTTTAATTACGTTTTTGTTCCATCTGTTTGTTTTTCATTAAGTTCGCGAAAAACTTCTCCCGCAGGTGTAGTTGGTGTAATGTTGCTGGCTCATTTTCGTCGAAGTTATTACTCGGTTATTTGGCTAAGTTTGCGTGCATAGGTGAATCTAACTCATCGCTGGGTATGGCACAATTGAGTTGGTCGTGTACCGGTCGCAGGTTTAGAAATACCGCGAAACATTTTCGCGGCCTTGGCATGACTTTAATGTCATTTGAACTGTCTTTTCTAAGCGTAATGTATGTGCGTATAGTTCTCTAAAACATGTTTTTTTTTCGTAAAAGTAAAAAAAAAAAAAAAAAAAATTCGAAGTCCAGCATTACGTTTATCTACTGCGACCTGCATATTTTTATGAATACGAATGAAGCACGGCTTCATTTTGTTAATAATGAGAAAAACATGCAGGCGTAAGAGACCTCAAAGTAGCGTTCCAAGTTTTGTTCAGTTTCTACTTAATGTTCAATTTAAACAGCCACTGATGTGCGCCATCACTTATTTCTGTATTTCCTTTCTCGAGCACTCGTTCATTTTTTGCATACCACTTAGAAGGTAGTGTGCGTAATGGGCAACTTTATACGCCTAATGAGCAACTCCTTCCAACTTTTGCACGAAAATTTGTTTTCGATTCCTTGTGTACTTCATGCTTGGTGGTGGTATTTTTTTTTTCTTTTGGTCTGAGTTTAATTGAACTGTCGCCTATTACCACCTGTTAAACATCACGGCGCTGCTGCAATCGGAAATTAATTTGGGTTAAGTTCCTCTTGCAACAGCCTCGTCGCCTCTTTGATGTTTGCGCAACAACTTTGTGTATGCCGAACGCTCGTCAGGCTGATAATTACTTTTGGACAGTTTCCTGAGCCCTCCTCGCTTTCACAGCGGCAGCGGTTTATACACCGGACATAGTCTACTCGAGGTAGCTCCGTGAGGAACTATATTTCTTAAAGAGGTCTTCGAACGGTGCTGTGCAGCTCCACTAATTTTTTTGCCATTTGTTTATTCGATATGTTAAGAAATGATAGGCGTGGCTCATTACGTTAATTCTCGCTTCTCGCTTGGTGATTGGTTGTTCGGACCTTCTCGGTGGCCAGTGCCGCAATCTCATTGGCTGCTGAAAGATAATCAGATGCACGGGACTCGCCACCTTCCCCCCCCCCCCCCCCCCCCCCTCGTTTGTAGAGTTGTCGGCCACTCTAGTTGGGACTGTACCCCGATGGCCACGGCCTCGTCGTTGCTGCTCTCCTGTAGCGCCTTCCCTTCCTGGCTCAATCCAAACTCAAACACTCATCCGAAAAGAAAGGAAATTTGACTCGTACAAAGCACCGTCTTCCACTAGGGTTCTCGCACGTTCCCCGCACGATTTTCGTTTAAATATTGAGGGGTTCTGGTTGACCGATTGCTCCTTACGGGACATTTAGGTACGCCGGTTGCTTGTTGAAGGGGAGGGGAGGGGGTATATTTTTTTTTATTAACACCATCCTATTTTGTAATTTTTGCTTGAACCATTGTTATGCTGACGCGAGAGATTATATCCGATAGAGTTTATGAGAATATTACCGGGAAACAAAATAAACATTCCACCGAATCTCGCGAAACCGGCTTACAAAGTTATCAGCGTCAATATACGTTTAAATTACTAAACGGTTCGTCGAAAAACACATTGTACTCGCAGTTGTTTACCACCAAAAAAGTTATGTAGGAGAAGTAATTTAACACCACCCGTTGAAGAAGCGGTCAGCACTGAAGTGACATGGACATGGTGACATTTTCACTCGCTAGTTAGAGAGGCGCCAAGCAATTTCACTCCAAAAAAAGAAAGGGTGTAGTGTTACACCTATTTGTCCCATATAATGCACCCCAAAACCTAGGTTCAACCTCAGAACACTGCCGTCGAACTTACGGCCCCAATTTTTACGAGGGGCTTGATAACGGTGCGATATAACTTATTAAACAGCTAAAGTATGAATCAAAAACTTTAAAAAAAGCTTGATGTTTTGCAATAGGGCCAAAAAAAAACGATTTTTTTTAATTTTTTTGTAGACAGTAACACATACATTAGCCATTTTAATAAGTTGTACCACTCGGCTATCAAGCCGCTCATGAAAGTTGGTATCTTCTGTTCGACGTCTGTGTGCGGTACGTCGAACTGAAGTATCAGGGTGTCTTATGTGGGACAAGGGGTGTAAGTACAACACCCCCTATTTCTGCTAGTGTTCGAGTGCAAATGAATAGAGCGCGTGAGCCAGGAATCGTTCTCCTTTCAGTTCGAGTCCGCTTCGGTCAATCAAACAGCGCGAAAAGTGACGTCACTGAGTTCCTCGTCTTTCCGAGCGGGCGTCATTGCCGGCTAGATTAACCGAGCTCACTGAGCGCGCCGTGAACCTGAGATATTCGCCTGTTCCTACGTGTGTGCGTTTCTCCTATACTCAGGTGCCAACTTTCTGTAACATTTTCTAAGAGAGGACGCGAGCACGCGCACAGTTTTAATCGGCGCTCAGTATGGGAGAGGGCCCGCTCATCCGAACTGCATTGCCACAGAAAGTTGTCCCCGTGTCTTTAAGTGTGCCCTGACTTATGGCGAAACAAAGTCTCCTCACTGAGAGTGAGCATGGGCTAAATAAGTGCCGCGAAGAATCGCAAAGCAAAAGGTGGAAAGAGAACAAGGAACAGGGATAAAACAAAAGCGCTCATACGGGACGAAGACAGGACAAAACACCTTTCTCCTGTCTTCGACTTTTACGTCGCCTTTCTATCATCCCTATAACTCATCAGCACGCTCCAATCCGTAGCAAACTAACCTGCCAGTGACCATAGCACCTCGGTTCTATGTGGAAATATCATACTTGCATTTTTGATCAACGTGGCAAGGTCTCGCAGCTTTGTAGGTTTCACCGACTCAATGGCGGTGTGATGTGACTAACTTTGATCGCCCTGTTTTCGATCACCCCGGTACAAAATTAGGCACAGCAAATAACTATGTCCAGTTCAGTCCCATAGGCTCATGACGAAAACGTTTAAATTACGTGCAGGTCGAACGGACCAATCAGTTATCGCGCGATTACGTGGTGCACGGTAAATAAATGGCCGTCTGCTGTAGCATGGTCCTCGACTTTCTTTTTTTTCGGTAAGTTCTTGGGCATGACGTAAAGAAACAAAGCTTCAAGAACGCGGATTGTTTTATTTCACTTACCTTCCTCCCGCCCCTCTTTCTCTTCCTCTTCCTTTCTCTTTAGAAAAAATGATAGTTATCCGGGGCATGTATGGGAGTTCCGCACGTTTGTCGAGGAAAGACACCTCCCGATGGTGTACTCGCCTTTTTTTTATTTTAAATTTTATCCAACACCTTTTGTTAGTTATGTCCAAAAATCACTGGCAACAGCGTTGGCGTCGCCTTCGGACTCAACGCCAGACTGTGATTCTGCGCGTGACAGGCGAAGCGAGCAAAGACCGGCGCATCGAGCAAACGCTGGAAAGCCATCTCGAGCGCGCCGTCCAGTCTCGCGGGCCTTTGACCAATTTCCGGGGGACAAGGGTCTCCGGAAACAAGGAAGGCGAGACAGCTAAATCTCTCTTGCCGTACATATTATTTAATCCTGAGCACGCGATCAGCCTTCCCCACATAACAAAAAAGAAAAAAATATATATATATATATAATTCTGCATTAAGATAGTCGTTACTGAACCCAAAGTGTTTATGCAAGTGCAGAATAAACTCTTTCTTTCTTTGCGCATATAAAAATCAGCCACGTTTTGGCAATCTTCGTCGAAGACAGGAAAATCCAAGTCTCAGTAAAACAAATTAAACAAATTTAATAATGTAAACTTGTTCTACGGTTTGTATTAATAGTTTAATAACCAATAACGTGAGGACGACTGATATAGTGAAGCTTTAATTTCTGAAATATAAAGTGTAATTATAAAAGCCAGGATTCGTTCTATGTTTAGCCATAAAAAGATCCATAAAACCTCTCGTATTAAAAGAGATAGATTGGACATTAATAGAAAATTATTGTTTATAAAATCCGATTTAATATTGAAATAAGTCTGTTTCTCTAACATACGATTTTGTCGACCGCGGTCCGAATGGCGCCTTCCAACTATCAGGAAGTGAAAGATCCAGTTTTCTTCTCCGGAATCGCTGCCTGCACTCGCCAATTCCCTAACGGCTGTCGGGAAGCAGGCGTTTGTAGGTCCCGAGAGGGTGGGTTCTACCTTCTTTCCCGCCTCCGCTCCGATGCTCCTCTTCACTTCATCTCAGAATCGGCATCTTTTACTGTTTGTCCAGCTAGGTATTTTGTTTCGTTTTTTTTTTTTTCGCCTTCGTACCGCTTCCTGCGGACGTTACTTATGGTTCTTGCAGGCACTTGAGCCCCGCAGGCAAGTCTAGATTCGCCAGAAGCACTCGAGAGAGCGAACTGGAGCTTTGGTGCTGCCGCCGACGCCGGCGTCGATCAAAATGCCAGTTCGGGCGGGGAAGGTGTGCCCGAACGACTCTCGTGTAAAACAAACACTGGACCGATCAACGATGCTGTAGTGGCCAGTTCAGCAGAGTTGTTATCCTTCGTTACCGGATTTACTGTTCCTCTCAAATTAATGCTAGCGGCTGCCTGATGCGCGTTGGGATTCCACGCAGAGCTCCTCCGAGAACGTTGTAA